CTCTGCGAAAGTGTGCGGCTCCTCTTTTGAGAAGCCCAAGGCAAGAGTGGCGTCGGACGCATCCGAGTGAGCTCCTGCACCGAACCGCGTTTCTTTCTACATGTAGCGACCGCGAATTCACTTGTAACTTCGATATAATATAGCACGGCCGGACTCGACGCTCTTTCCGCATGCTCCTTACGGCCTTCTCAATACCGGCGCCGCGCATATATTTTTTTCTGACGCGTAGAGGGCAGCACCACCTCACAGTAAGCTCCGCCGGCTCCCCGCGTCGTCGACTGTGACTTTTCTTGACTGCGTTCGATGACCTCGGGTAAACAATGCATCAGACACGCTCAGCCACGCTAACTGCACTAGCGTAGCCATGGTTTATTGTTGCGTGCCACTGTGTAAGTCACAGCAAGGGAAGACACCGGGTGTGCCGTACCACCAATTTCCTAGCGATTAGGAACTGTGTTCGAAGTGGAGGAAAAATGTTTCACGTGAAAACCTCGTCATCAATGACAAGCCTGCATCGACTGTAGGGTGCAGCAAACACTTCACGGAAAATGACTATGTTCCCGGATATCGTATCCGGAAACTGCGTCCTGGAGCCGTGCCCACGGTCTTCAATCAGTATCCTTCGTATATGGTCCCGGCTACGAAGAGGCCACGTAAATAACCTGCAGCGCGTGGCCCCTCGGCCACCTGGGCTCCTCGACAGCCGACGAAATGGAAAGCGCAGTCATCGCCGTCTACCTACGGGGAGTGGATACATCGTGAAGCTCGTCAGTGAGTTTAAGTGTGATGCTTGTGTTACGATGCTGAAGACTATGAACAAAGCTGATCCTTTGTATGTTCTGTTGCACAGCCAGGACAAAAGTGCACTCCACTACCCAAACCGTATGTTTTGACACTGTTGGACAACATTGTTACTTTATTTGAAAAAGCTGCTAGCAAGCTTCCGCGTACAAAAGTGCATGAAGTGCTGCAACTTTTGGTTACCCCACACCTCGAACAATCACCCGTCCTCCTTTGCCCAGAGGGTGTAGACAGCAGCCACGCAAGGCGCACAGCTCGTTTAATTGCGGACAAATTCATCAGACTTCTCGTTAACTACACAAAGATGGTGAGCGATAGAAATGAAAAACCACTTGCGCATGTGCACAAGCCGTCTAGAAACTATTTCAGACTGTGATAAGTATGTCATGGAGGTTCGCTTTATTTGTACCATGCATTTGTGTTTGTGTTAATTTGTATTGCTAGCGTGGGTTTGAAAGAAAAAGATATTTGTGCTCACCTCGCACAGAAATTGTTTTTTTTTATTTAAGGTCTAGTCCACCTTACGACAAAATAAATATTGCTTTTTCTCTCTGAATTTTGTGCGCTGTAATGGATTACTGTTGCTTGTGACAACACGCGTGTGCGAAAATCCGGGAAAGCTGCCGGAATGGTTGCGACTGGGTAAGCGGTGCTCTCAGAGGTCGACTATACCATTTTAACCTCATCACATGCAACGACCGAGCTGTATTGTGTGGATAAAACGTTCATCTTCAAGAATTCAGGCGCCGCAGTTGTTTCTGTTTCTCGTACTCAGCGCTGTTATGATGGCCATAGCGCTGTGGCACGCACACTGCGCCCGTGAACGCGCTTGGAGGCGGCGGAGCAACAGTGGTCTAGCAGCGCCACCCCGAACTTGCGGCGGCAGGCAGCAAAACGCCCCAATGCGAAGGCCGTAAGGGGAGCGCCGGAGAAGGAGTCGAGTCCGGCCGTGAAGATAGTTTACTTTTAAAGACAATAGTCTTTCTTGGACACCTTCGACGCAAAAAGTCTGGTCTGTCTGTCTGTACATTTGTCTGTTTGTCCGTCCTTAGCGGTACCCTAAACGGCACCAAAGTGACAAAACGATTCTACAAACGTCGACCCCATCCGCAGCACCCACCAGTATTGCTCAAGGTTAAGCGCTCATACTTGTGCGATTATCAAATAAAAATCAATTATTGCGCATATCTGAGGCACCGTAACAATACGCCAGTAATATTTATGTGTATTTATTTACTGGAAAAGCCATACATATGTAATTCCAAGGACCATGGCGTTTATCACGCTGCGCTGACAATGCAACGCTTGCACGAAAAGGCTAGGGTTTCCGACGCGTTGCTAAGACGACACGGTGGTGGCACTTACCCGTCGCCTTGTGTTTTACATCTCATCACCTCCGAGACGGGTGCGCATAACGCGCGCCGTTCCTTTTCCAAGATAACTGCCAAATAGCACTCATGCCTCTCGTGTGACGTTACTTGATGCGCTCATTCGCCTGCGCTGCACGCTCGAGGCACTTTAACGCTAGAGTGTACTAGAAAGTTCTAGCACACTCTAGTAAAGACATGGACTTGCATTTTTGTTCTTACATACAAACGGTTCGCTATATAAAACAAGACTTCGGGATTCAACTGAATTGACTTCATTTAGACGCTGTTTTGCTTTTGAGGTGCACGTTGAGAATTAAACGCTGTTTTGCTTTTAAGGTGCACGTAAAAAGGCTGGACTTTCTCGCGCGTTCAGAAACGCAAAGTCACAACGAATAAATTGAAGTAAAAAAAATTGGCAGATTTCAGGTACAGTGGGAATCGATGATATGTGAAGCACGAATGAGAAATGTTGATATGTCACTTTAAAATGAGCACAACGTTACGAGGTGGAGGTAAATGATTTCGTACAGGACTTCCGTGTCATGATTATCACGTTTGGATGTGTCGTTCACCTTCGTTATCTATTGATGTCACGTGATGCCAAATTAAGTAGACGTAGAGCTAGCGAAACGGCCGTGAGCACGCTATGAACATGGTGTGTTGTCATGTGCCTACATAACACGCGTGTCAAGATTATCAGGTTTGCACCAGTCATATAGTTCGGCATCCATTGACGCCACGTAACAGCAAATTTGGTATATGAGGAGCCAGCAAAATGGCCGCAAGTGCATCATGAAGGGCCCAATATACTTCAATGTATCGTTGACGCGCGCGCACGCTAGGCACCGCGGCGGTATACGTTAGCGAAACGCGAGCACTTTATAATCTGACGCCAGGCGCGACCAGCGTCCATCGGCGCGGCCCGCCGGCAATCAGCGCGAAATACGACATGCTGTATTTGGCACAGATTCGTTGCCCCGACAACACTGCGTCTCCCTCTTTTCGTGACGGAGGTACGCCGGACGCGCTGAAACGCGCATGCGTCAAAGCAACGCAGTGCGACGCACACCTGCGGGTATATAGAAACACTGGCGCATGGCGTGGTGCGACGAAAGGAACGCCGGCCATCACTGGCAGCGCATCATGTCGAAATGTATTGGCGCCTTCACTGTGGCGTGTAGTCATGTTCTCAAATGACAAGCATCTCGTGATTATCATGTTTGCACCAGTCACATACCTTCGTCATCCATTGGCGTCACGTAATAGCAAATTTGGCTTACGTGACGCTAGCGAAACAGCCGCGAGCGTATTAAATGTGTGGCGTGTAGTCATGTTGTTACATGACACGCATGTCGTGAGTATCATGTTTTTATGGGTCATTTACCTATATCATCCGTTCGCGTCACATAATACCGAATTCGATAGACGTGAAGCTAGCGAAACGTCCGCGATTGATTCATGAGCATAGCACGTCGTAATGTTACATGACACGCATCTCATGTTTACCATGTTTGCTCCAGTATCATACCTTCGTCATCCATTCACGTCTTATAATACCAAATTTGGTATAAGTAAAGCTATCGAAACGGCCGTGAGCGCATTATAAGCGTGGCATGTAGTCATGTTGTTACATGACACGCATGTCATGATTTTCATGTTAGGGTCTCTTGCTTGGGTTAGACATGCAATCATGTCACACCATACCAGTTTTGCAACATGTCATGTGAACGAAACCGCTGCAAAAGAGCTGCAGTACCATGAAGAGTAAATCATGACATTCATGACATACATGCCATTGTTTTAATGTTATGGCTAGTCCAATATGTTCTTCATACAGTCATGTTATGCCATACCTAGTTTGGTATAGATACCATTATTGAAACGGCGAGGAGAGCTAAAAGTAGTAGGCGGCTTGATAGATAGATAGATAGATAGATAGATAGATAGATAGATAGATAGATAGATAGATAGATAGATAGATAGATAGATAGATAGATAGATAGATAGATAGATAGATAGATAGATAGATAGATAGATAGATAGATAGATAGATAGATAGATAGATAGAAACCGCGAAGCCAGACGACGAGATTAATGAAACTAAAACTAGAAGAAGAGTGCAGTGGAGCACATTCAGCAAGCATCCTGAAATCATAAATGGTAGATTGCCACTATTCTTCAAGAGTAAAGTATATAACACCTCCATCTTGCCATCAGTTACGTACCGAGAAGAATCCTGGAGAATTACTCAGAGAGTTCAGCATTAGTTGAGGACGACGCAGCGAGCAATGGAAAAGAAAATGATAGGTGTAACGTTGAGGGACAAGAATACACCAGAGTGTACCAGAGAACAAACGAGTATTAAGGACATCATCGTCGAAGTAACAAAAAAAATGGGGCACATAGCGCGAAGGCAAGATAACCACTGCGCGTTAAGGATCAAAGTCTGCACTGCAAGCGGGTGGTTAAAGAAACAAAAAGTTAGGGTGGCTGTTGCGACCGGTGTTTGCAGGCACCGGAGATCCGGGACGAAGGCGCTGAGACAGCAGGAACGTGAATAGGGGATTTATTTACATTCTGTACATGGCGAGCTCTCTTGAATGAGTTGGTTCGTCAACTTTCCTTTCTTATTAGGAAGTGTTATAACGGAAGTATTTGGACCGCTAACGCTAATGTCGCTTCATTGTCGCTCGTGCTACACTTAAGTGAGATCGCATGTGTATCTTATCAATTACCCCTGGTTCCGTCGCCCTCCCTAAGAGGCTACGCTTATTTCAGAGTGACAGAACATCCCACAATAGCCAGGAACTCTGTATTTTCATTTCGCAGATTCTCTCCGGAACAGAAGGCATCCAGGCATCCACTGGCCTTCCAACCTTTTGGTGCCGGTGCCCGGAACTGCGTAGGCATGAGGTTAGCTCAGGTCGAACTAATCCTCATTGTTGCGAAGCTTGTGCACAAGTTCCGGCTGCACTTAGGTTCCAAACACGCAAATGTAAGTAAGCCTCGTGCTGTGTTCCGTAAGTACCCATGACAGTAAAATCTTTCGGTACGCTAAATGAGAGAAAAAGCGTTTGTATGCGAACATACTTTTCAAATACATGTTTTTGCATATTGTTACAATTGCAACCTGTACAGTCTCCATTCAGCTTTAAAACGGGACGATTGATTGATTGATTGATTGATTGATTGATTGATTGATTGATTGATTGATTGATTGATTGATATGTGTGGTTTAACGTCCCAAAACCACTGATGATTATGAGAGAGGCCGTAGTGGAGGGCTCCGGAAATTTCGACCACCTGTGGTTCTTTAACGTGCACCCAAATCTGAGTACACGGGCCTACAACATTTCCGCCTCCATCGGGAATGCAGCCGCCGCAGCCGGGATACGAACCCGTGACCTGCGGGTCAGCAGCCGAGTACCTTAGCCACTAGACGACCGCGGCGGGGCTTAAAACGTGACGCATTGATAGCGTGGAACTTTGCATTCACTGTGCAACCAACGTTCTCCAAACCTTTTCAGTAAGATTTACGCAGAATTGTTCAAGCATTTTGGTAGAAAACAATTACATCAACTCCAGCTAAGGGAACCTTGTGCAGATTCGAAGCAGTTGGCGCTGACGCTTGCACTCGCCGTGGCGTTGAAGCTGACGCTTACTGCGGCGCTGACTGCGGCTAAGTGGTGTGAGCCACCACCCGATCTAAAGGGCACAGCCGGATACATTCATCCATTCATTCATCGCAGAACAGAAACCTGGGGAGGGACAAAGCGCGCAGTGACAGACCAGTGTTTCCTACTGAAACGTGACTCTCGCTGCTAGTCGGCAATGAGAGACAAAATACTCCGACTGAAAATGGAGACCCGCAGTACGCTTTTAGTTAACGCTTACGCAGCGAATTTCTGTTGAACAACTAACAGGAGAAATATTCTACCGACACTGCCTTGGAGGTCAACATACAGTGCCTATATATACGGGGTGGCTAGTGAACGGTTGTGCAGCGCAAACAGTCGTTCTTTTTCTTTTTTTTTTCAATGAGGAAACCTGTTAACAGATGCTGGCTGCATATGCGTTGTGAAGTGAGAGGGAGGGGGCAACGTCGGAGAGGGGAAAGAGAAGGAGGGGGCACACATGCACAGTGGCACATACATACATACATACGTACATACATACATACATACATACCTACATACATACATACATACGTACATACATACATACGTACATACATACATACATACATACATACATACATACATACATACATACATACATACATACATACATACATACATACATACATACATACATACATACATACATACATACATACATACATACATACATACATACATACATACATACATACATACATACATACATACATACATACATACATACATTCATACATACTGCCACGCTGTGTTGGTGGCAGAAGACGAGAGCGAAGAAGTGAATGGCAGCTGTGGCTGAGTAAACAGTCTTACACTTCGAGTTCCTGCCAATAGTTTCCTCTTGCGACAGACTGGTGGACGTTCTGGGTACTGCACTGCAATGTCTTATGTCTGCTCGTCCTGAACCAAAAGCAACCACCGCCAGTGCACCAGGGTCTGCTGACATCTATCGAAGCAGCCGCCGCCTTCAATGACTACCACCACAGTTCGGCCCCTTGGCAAGTTCCGTGAGGACAATGTTTGCCACATCCGCAACCCAAACCGAGCATGACCCACTCGCTAGCGTACCCTGTGTTATCAACACGCCTCGCACGCCCAATCCATTCCATGGTGATGCCAGTGAGGATGTCGAAGACTGGCTTGACCATTTCGACCGGGTCGCTGCCATCAATGACTGGGACAATCGCCGTAAGTTGAAGAACGTGTATATATCTCTCTTAGACGCGGCAAAAGTGTGGTATGAGAACCACGAAACTTCATTTACAAGTTGGCAGGAATTCCATCGGCAGCTTCGCGAGGCGTTCATAACACAGAACGGAAAGAAAGAGCGGAGCAATCACTTTCTTCGCGATTTCAAATGCCGAACGAGAGCGTCGCCATGTTTGTCGAAGAAATGTCGCGATTGTTTCGACGGGCTGACCCCCACATGCCAGAAGACAAGAAAGTGTGCCTGCTAATGCGAGGCGTAAAGGAGCAACTTTTCGCGGGCCTTGTGCGCAACCTTCCTACGACTGTGTCCGAGTTCATACGTGAGGCCACAATTATGGAGCGCATGCTTCGGCAACGGGTGTCACAGTATGAGCGTCAGACGGCCAAATCCACTGCGTGCTCGCTTGTACCAGGAGGTGATAACAGGGAGGTCTTCACAGAACTCATACGGCAAGTTGTACGCGAAGAAATTCGGAAATTTCATGTAGCGCCCCCTCCCAGTAGCGCTGCTTTTACGGACGTCGTTCGTAACGAAATCAGACAGTTCGTTCACTCCTCACCACCATCGCAAGTCGAACCTCCCACGCTTTCCTACGCGGATGACCTACGCGCCTCTACGCCGTCGACGGCGCATTTTGCTCATCAACCTACTGGGACCCCCAGACGCTTTCCAAGTCCAGACCATCGCCTGCCTTCTCAGGCCGATTTTCGTCCTGGCCCGTGGAAGTCCACCGTCTGGCGTGCACCCAACAATCGTCCTTTGTGCTGCCATTGTGGCGAAGTTAGACACATGTACTGCGACTGTTACTAGCGTATAATAGGCCTACGCGGATTCCACCCAGATGCACGTTGTCCACGCTATGGTGAGCGCCCACAAGAAATTGCGGATTACTTGGAAGGTAGTCATCACGTTCCTGTCCTGCAGCGACGACAGTCACGGTCACCATCACCCCTTCCGTCCACATCAACGCACCGCGCCCGACCCGCATTTGGGTCCCCTGGTGTCAGTGGCGCAAGCCCACGCCGTAGAAACTGAAAACGGCGACCTCCGGAGGTGAGGCCGCTGTCACGCGAACCGACAAATACCCTCCGCCACTGCCTTACGACGTGCCATTAAAGCCTGTTTGTGAAACCGCCAACAGAACGTCTGCTGCCATTACCGTTTCCGTCGACTGTTATCCGGTGACTGCGCTTGTCGACACGGGAGCTGATTACTCGGTGATGAGTGCTTCATTGGCCACCCGTCTACACAAGGTGCTGACAACGTGGGACGTGGCCCATTAACTAATCACCGCTGGAGGACTCCCGTCTCCTATGAAGGTGCGACCGCCAGCTTGGAGTTTGGCTCGGCTTTGTAGCATCCTTCTTGTACTGCCCAATTGTTCTCGGGCCGGTCATTTTTGGGCATAGGATTTTCTGGCAAAGTATTACGATAATTATCTGGCGTGATTTGTTCGTCATTTCGCTAACTGTGTTTCTCCAGATTCCGACATCGATAACGAACATAAGTGGCATGGCCTTACGCGTAGTCGATGATTGAGTCAACGGATGCCACATCGCAGTAGTATCTTCGTCCTTGTTTAGTGTCCACGGGAGCGTAATTACGGGCGATCGCTGAAAGTAACCTGACGTTATTGCTTGATCCAAAACACTTCTCCAGTGCCGTGCATTTCTAGAGAAGGCGAAGAGTAATACATACGTTTGCTTTTGATGTGGATAGCGCATCACCAGACGTCGTTCTCACGTTCAGGGCAGGTTGCATCATATATGCATTCTTCGGAAAAGGTATCCATGGTTTACAACAGCTGTACTATGCCTTGAAGGTCACTTGACCCCTCCAGGAAATGTTGCTCACTGACCACGATGATGACGACGTTGCTCAAGAACTGTCAAGTATAGGGTTTTCAAAAATTATCTAGAGGGCACTCTGGCGCTCTGATAGTTCGCGTAAGTTACCAGGGAAGTGATTGGCAATCCACGTAGGCAATGCTTAGAGAGAGAGATAAATAAAGAGGAAAGGCAGGGAGGTTAACCAAGCTTGGCTCGGTTGGCTACCCTACACTTGGGGTGGGGGAAAAGGAGAATAATAGAACGGAAAGAGATAGAAAAGAATAGGAGTAAGAAAGAGAAATATGAATAGTCAGCTCGAGACTACACAGCACGGTTTCGAACAGTTCTTTCACAAGTGGTCGTGAAGTCTGGTGGTCCTTAAAAAGTACAAGAGGGCTTTCGTGGCTTTGCGCGTATGGGAAGCCGTCGGCCAAGGTCCAAGGATCTTCTCTTCTGTAAGCGGCCGTGAATCCAGCTGACAGAGCTTGACTTCCATAATACGTCGTTCGGTCTGGTATGCTGGGCAATGACTTAGAATGTGCTCAAGCGTTTCTTCGCAGGCGCAGATGTTCCATGCCAAAGTGCTCGCCATTCCAAGGAGACGAGAGTACGAATTTGTAAATGCCACGCCCAACCTCATGCGACACAGTAAAGTTTCAGCGCATCGTGGGAGCCCGGATGGCAAACGAAGTTGCAAGTTTGGGTCGATCGAATACAGGTGCGTGTTGGAGAAACCATGCGTATTCCATTGTAGGAAAGATATACGGCGAGCAAGTGATTGTAGTAGCCTTGCAGCGTCCGTTCTTAAGAGAGGTACGGGCGAGCGCTGGTCTTGGTCATGAGCCGATCGAGCAGCTTCATCCGCGCGGTCATTGCCGACGATTCCGCAATGACTCGGCAACCACCGAAATACAATATCGTGGCCTTCTTTGAGCGCTTCGTGGTAGTCGTGCCTTATCTGATATACTGATTGCTCGTGTAACCCGTGCTGCATAACGAACCATGACTGTAAGGCTGAGCTGGAGTCGCAAAAGATGTCCCATTGGTTAGGTTGCTGCCGAATAATGTACTTTACTGCACCTTGAAGTGCTGCGAGCTCTGCTACTGTCGACGTCGTGGTGTGAGAAAACTTGTACTGAAGCAACACATTTTCAGATGGAGCAACCACTGCTCCTGTAGAGCTGTTGGAATTAGTGGAGCCATTGGTGTAAACATGTATGCGGTCGAAGTACTTTTCGTCCAACAGACGCAAAGTCAATTGCTTCAGGGCTAGCGTTGACATGCGTGCCTTCTTAACGATTCCAGGAACTGATAAGCGCACGTCAGGTTGACG